AAAGGTGGTAAGAACAGCTGAGCTACCAAGGCTCGCAGGGGAGTCCAACCTTTTGACCTCTCCAGGCCGCACCGGAAGAAGAGTTGTCTTGGGCCACATATGAAATACATTGTGACACATAGTCACAAAAAGCCTCATCATGTTTTAAGTAAATTTTCGATTATGTGTTGGGCCGCGGGCTGGACACCCCTGGTAGAGGGAGGAGATGTGAGAAGGCAGACAAGGGGGGCGGGAGGCGAGACTGAAGCCGTTCATTGTTTAAAACAAACGGTGCATTTTCAGACAGTTTTTGATTTACAGAAAACCTGCAAAGAGAATAGAGGGGGTTCCTGTATTTCCCACACCCATTTCCTTTATCTGTAATATCTTATGTTAGCATGGGACATTTTTCACAGTTAATGAACAATTGATACATTATTATGAACAGATATTGATTCGGAGGCCCTTAGTTTTTACTTAATGTCCTTTTTCTGTCCCAGGGTCCCATATTGGGCTCCACATTTCGGTTAGTGACTGTGCCTCCTCCAGGCTCCCCTTGGCCGTGACAGCATCTCACACTTTTTCTGGTTTTGATGACCTTGACGGTCAGAGAGGTCCTGGCCAGCTTTGTGTAGACTGTCCCTCCATTGAGGTTGGTCTGTTGGTTTTTCTCATGATCCGACTGAGGCTGTAGGCTGGGGGAGGATGGTCCCTTGTCAGGGGAACGTGCCATCAACGTGACTTAGCACTCTGACGCTGGCCGAGGGGTGTCGCTCAGGTTCAACGCTGTCAGGTTCGCCTTTCTGAGGAGGAAGCCCCTCCGGGCAGCCCCCACGGAAGGAGAGGGCGCTCTGCTCCCTCCCGGACCGGGAGGAGCTGCGTGAGTTATTTGAGTTTCTCTGCCTTTTCTTGAGAATCTGTTACCACCCAGCACAGCAGGGAGGCTGGGGAAGAAGTGTCCCCAGGCCTGGAATTGCTCTCCCGACCTTGAGGGAGAAGTGGGGAGGGAACCAGCCGAGGAGGGGGAGAGAGGCGCGGAGACGAGGGGGTGCTCCCAACACTGGTGCCCCAGGCTGTCTCCATGGTCCTGCCTGTGCTGGGGGGTCGCGCCCCGGAATTTTGACATAATATGCTCAGGAGTTTCCTAAATAATAGTGGAAAAGTTTTCTTTCTTTTGCACTGAGCAGAGTGTTAAAGAAAAAAATAAAAAAAGAAAGAGGTCAAACAGTGACAAAACCACAGCAAAATAATCTCTCAAGAGTGTCTCTCCTCTTTCATCCCTCCTTGAATGAGGGGCCAGCGCCGCGCTGTGTGCCTGCTCCTCCTGAAATGACATGCTGTCCCTCGGTGCATGTCCCAGAGTCACCCGGTCGGGGAGACAGGGCTCTCGGGCCTCGTAAGCAGGTCCCAGCTCTGGAGGAGGCCACCAAGAATTTTTCCACTCTGTGATGAAAGGGAAGACTCTTCTAGCTCGGGCTGTTTCATGAGCGGCAAAAGCGACTTGGGAAAAGCAAGGCCTGACTGCTCCAGGCAAAAGTTATTTTTGCTGCAGAGGGACGGCCATCTAATAAAACGCTGCAGTTGCCCAAATTTGCCCCGCCCCTGGGAAGCTGTCTGGGCTCTTAAGTGCCTGTCCTTTTGATTGTGCAGATCACTTGTTGCGAATATCTCAAGGTCCGTGGCCAAGGTCACACTGTCCCTGCCAAAGGAGTTGGTGTCACCTAAGGACCGAGGTTTGTTTCCGGAAGGAAAGGCTGAGGTGGCCATCTGGCGCAGCGGTTTCACGCGTGCTCCCTGCTGCCCGCCCCGTCAGCTCCGCCTGCCTCCAGCGTGCTGCTCCGGGTGCAGGGGGCGCTGTCTTCTGGGGCGCTGTCCTCGGGCCACCTGCAGCTCTGAGACCTGAGGGGCGTGTTCCTTGCTGAGATCGTTTTCCTGAGACTCAGTTTCCTCACCTGCGATGGCGCCGATCCCACGGGATCGTGAGGGTATCATGATGGTGCACGGAAGGCACCTGGGCGTGCACATTGCGGTCACACCTGGGGTAAGTTCCAAGGAGAGCAGCAGCCACAGCAGGGTGCCGGCCAGGACCAGCGGGGGGCGGCGACACAGGGGCTGGGGATGCAGCCTGGATGTGCTCTGACTTCAAACCCCGCTTGCTGCCCTCCCCAGCCGAAAGTCTGCCGTGGCCCGCCCTGTGGCCCGCCCTGTTCCGTGGCCTGCCCTGGGCTCCGCTGTTCTTTCCACCCGAGTGGCTGCCCCCCGCCCACTGACCTCCTGCGCAGCGGGCGGCCCCAGGGCCACCAGGGAGCGGTGTTTACTTACCCGCCTCCATCTGTTTATAGCAGTGGCACTGACAAGACCCAGCGCTGTGGTCGGGCCTGGGTGGCTGCCCCACAAAGACAGCTTTCAGGCCACACTTGGCTGAGAAACTGGGGACAAAAGCGGGGTGAGATAGAAGGCAAAGCCAGGCCAGGGTCTGGTTCAGGTCGAGGGGGAAAGGCAGACACGCCAACAGCCCCCATGTCTGAAGCTTTCACTGCATACCAGGCTGCACTAAGCGCCTCACACACGTGCTCAGTCTCCACGGCATGGCGACAGAGGCTGAGGCGCTGGTCCGAGGCTGCCAGCCGCTTTCGGGGCGCAGCTGTGCTTTGAAGTCAAAGATGGTGCTATCTCTGCCTTGGTTGTTTTGCAGTCCTGGGTCAAATAAACACCAGTAGTCGCTGTTGAAATGTTACCTGTAGTCCTCAAAGCAATTTTATAGATGAGGAGACTGAGGTTCGAGGGGACCGATGATTTGCCGGGGTTGCCCAGGTAGCCAGTGACTGAGCCGGGGGCCCTTCGCCCAGCCCCTCCACATTGCCAGGAAAGGAGCAGGCAGACAGGCCCCGAGGCGCAGGTCTGATGGAAGCATTTCCTCTGGGAAAACGCAAGGTGCTTTCCTCCAGACCTGTCTCACAGGTAGCGTGTCGATGGCTCCCCCTCCTGGCGCGGTGACAAGGAGTGCTCTCCTTCTGAGCGTCTGAGGGGGCAGCCAGCCCTGCCACCGGGGACCGGCTCTGGCAAACACAGCCGCTGTGTGGTCCCGCTGTCTCCCGGGAGCTGGCTGTCAGCATTCGGGGCGAAAGGCTCCACTGACAATAAAGGGCCACTTCACCAGCAACGGCTGTGCAAACATCGTCCTCGGGGCCGTGCGGGGAGGCGGGAGGCCGGGCCCAGGCAGGAGGAGTGGTCCTGGGTGTCCAGGTTGGCTGCGAACCACAAGGTGTTCCCAGCATGCACTGAGTGAGGAACGCGAGTGGCGGGTGACAAAGCTGCTTTTGTGGCGAGCTGACCCCATAATGTCCACTGTGTTTTCCTCCGCCCTTACCCAAGCGTTTACTGCTGGATTTGTGCTTGGAATGGAAACCAGTAAAATCTGAGCTTATTAATAACTTGTGGAACATGAACAAGTTTCTGTTTGTTGCCCCAGCTGGTGAAAATGGCTGCTTGGACGTGGACCCGGTTTGGTGGGTGTGTTCCAGGTGGTCTGCCTCGGTGTACGAGGAGCGAGCCCTCGGCAGGCATCAGGAGACAGGCAGCTGCCACCAGCGGGGCTGACCCTGAGCCACAGCGAGTCACACAAAGTGGGAGGGGGCAGGGTGGATTTGTCTGAGAAAGTTCTTTGCAAAGCACAGGCCTGGGGAAGACCGACCAGCCACTCACGCCTGCCTGTTAGTCGAGGAGCGGACCAGGGGCCTCCTCTGTGCGCTGAGGATTTTGGGTGTTGAACCCAAACTGAGAAGGGTTACGCCCCTGTTTCATCTGGACACAGAGTCGCGCCCACCCAGCCCTAATCCCGTGGCCAGCCCGCTTTGCCATGAGGGCAGGTGCTGCCCGAATGTCTCCGAGTGTGGCAGAGCAGCCCTGCCTCAGGCTGCAGGTAGTAAAGGCGGGAGTGGTCTGTTTTCATGGAAGCAGCTAAGTACCCCACGTCCTCCAGTGATGCCATTTCATCTAAACGGTGATGAACCACCGCCACCCCGCTCCCGGCAGGGCCCCGCCTGCGTGGAGCGGGCATGTCCTCCCCAGGCCGGTGTGGGTCTCCGCCTGCGCCCACAAGTGTGCCGCGCCGTCCGAGCGTGCCGGCCTGTGTGGGCGGCCCGGCGAGGGAAGAGCGGCCTGTGCAGGGTGGGTCCCGGGCTCGAGCTACCCGGAGCCTGGCACCTGCGCCCCTGACCTGGAAGCAGCAGCTGGGGAAATAACTATCTTGTTTCTATTTGTCTTTCGTAGGTATAGCTCACATTTATTTCAGTGGTTAATGTTAGAAATGTTTTGGATCTTTATGTAGAAGTTTGGTGATATTTTTGTGAACAGAAAGATGCTGTGGGAGCTTAACTCTTATTTACATCAATTAGCTGATGGTGAAAAGGATTTTGTTGTATTTCATTTTGCTGAAAAGTTATAGTTTCCAAGAACCCACCAATGACGTTAGGTCAGGATTTACTATAGGTTACAATTTATTACATTAACAATATCCAACAGCAGACTCAACTAAGAACCGAAGTCTCTTAGTTTGATGTGATCTCTGACATCATCCAGGCTCAAGATACGGCCTTTGGGGAGAGCCCTTGGCCTCCACACCGCCAGCTGGTGAGACACACACTCAGGCCCCTCTGCCCCCCTGCCCCTCCCAAGGTCTCCAGGTGACCCTCCTGCACATTCAGGTCTGGGAACACTAATATAGTGCGTGACCCTAAGCTAGAGGCTGGTGTCGGTAGTCCTGGTCGTGTCTGGGGAGGAGAGGACCTGCCCCCTGCCCGCCCATGCCCAGCTGCGCCCCTGGCTTCAGGGTGAGGGCAGGCCGAGGTCTGTCCACGATCCTCCCGCCGTGAAGTCACCTGCTGTGTGCAGGAGCTGCTTGCAGGCAGAGGAAGGGAGGAGTTCACCTTTCACACCCTGGGGTGTAAGATTCTGTTGAAGCTTCAGAGTAAGAATAGCAAACTTTTTTTTTTACAAAACTTAAGCTATTTATTGATCATTCACTTTTCTAAAAAAACACGAACACGAGAAAAACAATACACACACCCAAGACTTCCTGTCCCTACGGGGAAGGAAGCAGACCGGACAGAGCACCTGCAATGTCTCCTCTTGCCTAGTGTCTGAGCCTGCTCATGCATCAGGGTCCCGGGCTTTGTCGCCTCTTGGGGGAGCAGACACTGAGGCCACGAGGTTCACGCACAAGAGGGTCACAACAACTTGAAAGCTACTTGATGCTAACGGCTTGTACACTCTAGTTTGCCACTGAGAAACAACATCAAAGCAGCACAGCCCAGAACGCACTCCCAGCTACCCTGTACGGCTGCTCCCAGACCCTGCCTCTCTGGGGCTGCATACGTTCCTTCCCCGCGACCTCCGCCTGTCCCTGGGGGCAAGCCTGAAAGCCCATGTGCAGTCTCCAAGTTCAAGTACGAAGGTCTGTTCCAGGATGGCCCCAGGTAGATGTAGTGTTCCTTTAGATGCCTGCAGTGTCTGCTGGTGTCATCCCCTCAGACAGGCAGGCCGGGTGGCAGAGGCACACAGCCAACTCCCCACTCACTGCGGACCCTGCCCCAAAGTCAAAGGCGACACCAGTGACGACCTGGGCCTGTCTGCTCCCCAAAGTGGTCCTGTTACGGACTGAATCCACTTCTTCCCCACCATGCAGTGGGGCTTCCAAAAGATGTCAATGTGTACCCTAGAAGAAGAGAATCATATCAAAGTGCTTGCCGATACTGAATTTTATGTTCCTAAAAGCATTTACAGTTAACCCAGGAAGGCCTGAGGCGGATGTCAGATGCTCCCCAAGGGCACTGGCGCCCCCACCCCCACGGGCATGATGACAGTGCCGCCCCTGAGCGACAGCCCCGTGCAGCCCGAAGCGCTTGCTTTTTCACTCACTGACACTCATCAAGTCACAGGCACCTTAAACAATCTTACAAACTGGACCCCAAGGGAGCATGAGGGCGCAAGGCAACCGAGTGGCTACTGACGACGGCGAAGTACAAGCCCGCGGCTGGTCGCAGCTCATACTGGCCCATGTCTCCCAAGCTCCGCAGAAAGTTGTTTGTGTATCTACAGCGAACTTTAAGACTTAGATCCCCTATGTAGTAAAAAAGGGGTGCACTTAACAGCGGCAGCCAGGGGAGCGGACAGCGGCAAGCTCCGCTCCTTTGAATGCATGGCGCCCCAGCGGGGCCTCGGGCCGACTCGGCCCCTTTAGGCTGTAGCCACTCACCAAGGCACTGTTCCATTTTAGAGCCGAGTCATAAACCCAAATTTAACCCGAATCCAGGGTGAGACTCATGTAAACAATTTAAGAAGAAATAAGATTTTCATCTGCGTTTCCCTCATGCACCCCAATCACCCCAGCCGGCTTCTAACAAAGCGACTCTGCACGGCTCACGTGCTGCGCTCTGGTGGCCCCGGAACACACCCTCACCGACACGGAACACGCTAACTAGTTCACAGTGAACAACGACTCGAGCGGCAGGGGGAGTCTGTCTGCGTGACCACTGCTCGGAACAGACAAGGCACGGGATTGTCCCCAGTGGTGGCTTACCCCTTTTCTATCCATTTCCTATCTCTCTAAGTCAGAGATGACTGCTCCCGGACAAAAGACGGGATACCGGACCTTAGGACGCGTCCTGGGCGGGGGCTGGCGGGTCCTGGCTTTCTGGCTCCGGGGGCGGCGCCGGCACGGCTTCTTTCTTCTGCGCCGCCAGGAACTCATGAATTGCTCGTTCTATCTGTGGCCTGAAGATGTGGTTTAGTTTGGGGTCCACCACCTGAGAAATGATTCTGTCCACTCCAGCTTCCAACATCCCTGACCTTGTGGAGACAGAGAGAGCATTCTGTCACGTGGCTCCCCCGGGCTGCGCTCCTCCCCAGCAAGTGTCCCTGAGGGCCCAGCGACCGTGCACCTGGTCAGGGCCGCTGCCCCCAGGGAGCCCGCTCCAGGGCAATCCACTTCGCAGGTGGGGTGCGGGCTGCCCCCCATGAAACCCAGCAGCCCCCTCCCACTCCCGCCTCACGGTCTGCTCCCCGGCCATCTCGGCTGTGGACAAAGGAGCCAAAGAGCATGAAGCGGCCCATCCCAAAGACAACAGAACAGTGATGGTGTGGTAGGAAGGGACCTGACGCAGGGACAGAGCCGAGAGGCTTCCCTGTCCTGTCCCAGCAGCGAGTTCAGACCTGACCGCGTCTCCTTTGCCACCTGTTCTGGCACGGGCTGCAGCAGAAGCAGCCCCCACAGCCGCGTGGCTGCGAACTGCAAATGTCTGTGTCACCAAGCGTGAGCTGGGGGTGGCACCGCATGGCCCGCAACTCCGTGTGGCCTGCAGCTGTGGCCGTTCCCTAGAACACGCACTAGGGATTTGGAAGCAGACAGTAAGTAGAGAATGAACTGGTTCTAAACTCCTGCAGGGTTGAAATACACTCCAAATCCTTTTCTAAAGTACAGCAAAAATCAGCCAAAGTGTCTGGATTCAACACTTGGGGCAGGGCAGCGAGGCAGAGTGTGGTGACAGGACTCAACGTCACACTTGAAAAGGTTGGAAAAGCATCCACAGAGGTTCAAGTGAGAGCGCTAAGGCCTGAAAGACGCAAACACCGCCACGAGCCCACGGGCGGGCTTCACTGCCTTGCCGTCAGCCTGGAGAGCCCTCGGGCCGGCCGCTGCTGGGGCAAAAACAGGCCCCGCGGCAGCTGCGCGGGCGGCGTCCAGGGCCGCGGAGGAAGCGCACGAGCACAGTGACAGGCGAGATGGGAAGCAAGCCTGGGAGCGCTCGGGTGGGCAGTAAGCAAAGTGCTCCCTGGATTCGGGGTGACCGACAGCTTATCAGCAGGAAGCTGGCATGTAAACACAACGCCCTCAGAGCCCAGCGCACTTCCAGGGAGCCCCACGTCTGTCCGGTGTGCCCTCCGAGGCGGGCACATAGCACAGCGGGGTCAGCGCCGGGCCGTGGAGGGCCGGGGATCACAGCTCTCCTCCTCAGTCACAAGCCCCGTGCTTCCCAGCGACACCCCGGTTCCTGAGGCAGACCCCCAGGGCCTTCACTGGTTGTGGAAGCCCAACCAGGGGAGACACGGTGTGGCTCGCTCTCCGGGGGTCAGGAAAGCGTTTGAGGGAGACGTGAAATCTTGTCAGGAGCCTAAACCGAAGGGGCAACACGCAGCTATCACGTAGTTAAAAGATGTTTTGTCACCACTAGGTTCAAGAGCTGAGCCCGATTTCCCAGAGCCTTCCACGCCGCAGACCTGGGACCCAGCCTCCGGGCCCTGTCGCGCGGCCATGGGGCCAGCGCTGGGCTGCGGGGTCTCATCAGGCAGGAGCCCTCCAGGGTTAAGAAGCAAATCCTCGTTCCAAGATTATATTCAGACTGGCCTCGGATTCAAAATGTCAGCAAGACTCACAGGGAAATGTCCCAGTGTCATGTCCAAATTCATTTTCTGGTTAAGTACATCCTAGATAAAAAAAAAAAAGCTGGGGAATGTACACGGGTGGTAAAACTAAGCGTTCATTTGTGAGATTAAAGACCCAGCTCCTGTGCCCAAAGTCCAAACGCTGGCATCTTGGTGGAAAACGCCCATGTGTGTTCAGACTACACCGAAAACCTCCGAGAGCAGAGATGACGTTTGCCATCTGGAACCTCTTTCAGCGCCCCTGGCGGCGACGCGCAGGCAGCCTGCAGGGGCGGGGACGCCCGCAGGAGTTCACCTGAGCGCCGTGCTCCTTCAGCCCCGAATTCCGATCACGGAGCAGCCTGCTGCGGCTTGTGCGTGACGGTGGCTGGGAGGTACCACCCCCCTCGGCCCAGCCGTGGCCTGGGACCTCCGTCAGCCCGCCCGTGTGTCGTGTACTCGTGTGGCTGCTGTCCACCCGCACTTCTGCTTACTTACTGAACCACGCTCTGCCGCAGGCCATTTCGCAGCTGGTTCTTGTTCATCGTAGGATTCCACTCCTGCTTGTCCAGATGCGTTGACACAAAATTATCCACTTTTTGCCTCAGGTTTTGGTAAGCTGGCTAAAATATTGAAAAGAAGGCAGAAGCTCAGAAGTTAAAAGCATCAAAATTTTGGTAATCAGTCACTCCAAACACTGCTTTTCATAGAAATGCAGATTTTCAAGTTAACTACATTCCCGTGGGGATGGTGAAGACCATGCAGTGGGCAGAGCACCCACGCTACGGTGGGTGGGCACAGTGCCACATGCTTTGTTATAATCTCATTTACTTTTCAAGTAATTCTCTAAGGGAGGTCCTGTCAGCTTTCTCCTGCCCTCCTTTCAGAGATGAGAAACTTAGGCTTAGAGAAAGTAAACAACTTGCCCGCAAGGCAAAGCCACATGGAGACCCAGGCTCTTGCCACATCAAAGGCACTGGGTCCCAGCCGGCTCCATCACTACCAGCCCTTGACTTTCAACAAGTCCCGCAACCTTGGGGTCTCAGTCATTTCCAACTGGGAAACGGTTACTACCCCGCTGACCTCACAGGCCAGTCTGAGCAACACACGGAGGACCACCTAGCCTCAGCACGACGCAAGAACGCTGACCACAGGCAGGGCCTGGGAGCCCCGGGGACGGCGGAGGGGAAGCACATTGTAGGCCCCAAAGGAGCCAAGAGGTCCCTACTGATTCTAGGCCTGACTGGCACCAGGAGGACGTTAGAAGGGACTTGGTAAACACAAAGAACGCATGTCCTGAGCCTCCAGAAACTTCCAGTGCCATGAGGTGCTCTTCTCCAAACCGAGTGTGATAAGCACACCGCTCACCCCACCCCCCCATGCTCCGGTCAATGGCATGTTAGCGACGAGACCTTAAAGGCAGTTGTGCTGCCTGGCTTGGTTCTTGTGCCCCGATGACCCTCTGTGACAGCATGTCCTGGACAATCTCTGCCCCTTCAGCCCGGAGCCTAGGATGCGTCCACGTGCAGCAGACTTGACCCAACCCGTGGCATGGGCCCAGGCCCCGGCCACCTGCAGCCCGCCGCTGGGCCACCCAGCCGAAGCCCACCGAGAGCAGCTGGACGTGGGGGTCCGCAGCCCTGAGGGCTTGTGTACTGTCTGCCCTGCCACTCCTCCTCCTGGTAACCATTCTCCCCGCCTTCCCAAGGGGAAGGCAGTGGGTGCCTGACTGCTACGTCAAGGCAGACGTTCCCTGGGATTTTTTTTTTTTTTTTTTAAATTGGAGCTGAGAGTCCCCTCCTAGAGGGTGAAGCCAGAATAAGATATAATCAAGAGATACAAGCAACCAAAAGGAGGACCCTGCTCTACAGGAGAGTATAACGGTTATAAAGAATGGGGATGAGGGGCAGCCCTCGTAGAGCCGCCCTGGTCCAACTGCGCCCCACGCTGCCGGCAGTTTGCTCGCTCAGTCCTTCCTGGGCGTCCATGAGGAGCTGGAATTGGGTTTGTCCCTCGCAGCCACGCATCCTGATACTGTACCTTCTGTTCAAAATAACTCCTGGTTTGAGATAACCATTTACTATAAAAGGGCAAAGGAGAGCAAATGTCCCCGCCAAACCCGAGTAGATCCTGTCAGTACAGATTAGCTCCCTTATTCGTGAAGTGAAAGGGCCTTTTGTGCCTGCCATTAACAGCTTATTATATTACCTGTCACTCTCATAACTCCCTGATCAGTTTGTTCTGTTTCTTTATAGTTCAGATGCATTGCAAAGTAAACTGCAGAAACCATCAGTACACCTTCCCCTACACCTTCCTCTCAGCCGTCTGGGCTGGGGCCTAAGGATATGCATTTCTAACAAGTTCTCCAGTAATGCTGCTGATTCAAGGACCACACTTCGAGAAACAGGGGCCTAAAGCAATAAAAAACTCCAGGTGCGCCTGAAAATGCACTATTCTTGAGAATTAAAATAACCTGGTAAGACCAGGAGGAGGAACGTCTAAGGAGGTGTTAAGTGGAGGAGCCTCAATTCTCTCCCCTCCAACAGCTTCTCCATATTAATTTTTTAAAAATGCACACTACATGGATTAAGCCACACAAAACATAAGAAACATGAGTGGGGAATATTTGACAATATGTATCTGAGACCCTTAATGGAGAAAACTTAAACACCTCATTTCAAGGACCACACCTTTCCTTGGCTTTTTAATCTTGGAGGAGAGTAACAGTACAGACCACTTCTATATACTCTCTGGTCGACGAGTCCTTTTCCCCACTTGGCACACAAGCTTTGAGGACTGGGTAGTAGCTGACTTGTTCCAGTATCCACACAGCATGGCATGGCATGGCACAGGCTAATACACGTTCAGTGAATTAAGTAAATGAGGCTTTCCTAGTCTTAAGGTCTATTTTAAGCTCACAATCTTGCGAGGTCGGCTCAGAGAGGGGAAGTCACTTCCCTGGAGGAGCCCAGTCAGTAACAGCCTCCTAAACCTACAGCCAGAGCCTTGTGAGAAAGCTTCTGAGACAAATGCTGCAGCAACTACTGCATGTCTGACACAGCGCACATGGCACTCATTGAATCCAAACCACCTTGGCAATTAAATGAGACAGCATTTTACTGGGGTGGGGGAGGGGCTGACCTATGGCACTAGGATCTAAAATAAGCACCAAATGCACCGTCATCCGCTATGGAGTACAAAACGGTGGCTGGCTTTACCATCAGTGTGTCTTCTTCACTCAACTGCATGAGCAAGACTGCAATCACTGAGCTAGAGAAAAGGAACAAAATGGCTACAATATTGATGATTGTGCAGTCAAACCATTTTACCCTTACTTACCTGGCTTCCTCCACCGTTAACATATTGAGGTTTTTGCTAAGAGGCTTAAAGAATCTCATCTTAGGAAAAATAAGAGTCTAGGCTCTAAAACCAGTATTGAAACCCCAAGTTCGGAGATGCGACTGGACTAAATCATTTCCTAACAGTGACAGGGCTGGGAGCCCAACACACGTGCGCATCACTGTGAAAGCTCCCCGTGCTGCCCCAAGCGGTCTGACCTCACGGATGAGATTTTTAAAGGTATCTTTCGTTTTTGCTCTCTGCTCTGAAAATGCAAAGGTGCAATCTGGGCGGCCTCATGCCGGGCCCGCTCCCGGTCCCGTTCGGTCCGGGCGGGCTCAGTACCTTGGTGTCCACGTCGGCCAGGCAATCCCGGCGGAAGCTGTCAAACAGGCCCCGGCTCTTGAGCTGCTCCACGATGAGCGCGATGAGCTGTGGGTCGCCGGGAGGCAGCGAGGCCGGGTTGCTGGGGCCGCCGCTCCCACCGGCCCCCGCCGCGCCCGTCCCCGCCCCCGCCGAGGCCGGGCCACCTCCGCCACCGCCCACAGCGCCCGTACCCCCACCGCCCCCATCCGCCATGGCTGCGTCCGGGACCCGCCAAGGAGACCAAATACGGCTTCTCGGGGACACAAGGCCGGGGTCGGGTACAGGTGGCGGCGGCGGGGGGGGAGGAGGAGGAGGGGACGGCGGCAGTGGAGGAGGTGGTAGCGGCGGCAGAAACCGCCCGTCCCACCCCAGGCGCTCATCGGATGACGTCACAAGTGGTATTTGCATTGTGGGGCGGGAGGTTTTCGGCAGTTACCTCCGGCGTTCTTATAGGCAGAAGCTTGGCGGACCGGAACTACAACTCCCGGCAGGCTTCGGGCCCGCTCGTCGCCAGTTTGCGGGGGCAGTATGGGAATTGTAGGCGTAGGCCCTCGTGATACCTGCCACCTGAGCTGGCCTTTCTCGCCTATCACTGAACCCTTGCTGTAAATTAGCACCGCCCAACAGTGCCTGATTATAAGAATCACCTGCGTGGCTGGTTGAACGTGTAGGTCAACAGGTTTATCTTTTAGAGATTTTCACCTATTTTTTTGGTTCGCGGCTTAGGAATCTGGGCCTCCTTGGACAATATTATCCGGGACATTTAGGAGACAGTGGACTAGTCAAAGTTCTATTATTCAGAAAAGTGTGGGGTTCTTAATGCCCCTCTGATTTTAATTGCAGTGCATCCTTTGGAAAATAATGGAAAATTGTCTTCCTGAATTTTTTCTTACACGTGTGGATTTCTTCTCAGATATTAAATATTGTCAATAATAATAAACTAGTGAGTACTTGGAATATGTCAGGCATGCAGCTGCAAACTTTACACACTCTACAATCTAAAAAGCAGATAGTATTATCATTGCTATTTTACAAATGAGGACATGGAGGAACAGAGTTTGTTGCCCTAATCACATAGCTAGAGGCAGACAAGGAGGATTTGAACACAAGTTTTCTGGATCCAAATCTTGCAATATTTAACTTATGCTACATCCTGAGAGCTAATTGGCATCATACACTAGGTAAGGCTTTATATCCTAATATTTTTGCAGCCACAGTTCACCTTTGGAACCCAATGGCTGCCACCACTGTCCTCTCTCTCTTTGTTTCAGCCTTTTGCCCATTGTCACCTCAACTTCTGTCTGCAACCCAAGGAATTGCGTCTCACCTTACTTCTCATCTTAAATAAGCAGTGGAGGGGGATGTCAATAATAAATTCTGCAGTATCTTCGGCTTCTGGGAAGAGGCAAAATGGACAGAGATTAGGGGTGCTCTTTCCACTCCAACATTTCCTATTCAGGAGAGTTTAAATGAGTCCTCAGATATTCATGATAGTTTATAGTCATCCTTCAACATCAGCTCAGTGTTCCTCAGTGACTAATGACAAGCGTTCTCTCTTGAGTACTTTTCCATCCTTGAGATTGCCTAATGACTGTTCTACTAATTGACCCTGAACTTCCCACTCGCCTTTAGCGCCAGGAGAAGCCCATGTTCATTCTCCTCCAACCCCCGCGCCCCCTCCCCACGATCGGTTGGACCAGCCTCATCTCCATTTCTGGCACATCACACCTCACTTTCTCCTTAGGGGAAACTTTTCTGACCCTCAGACCTAATCTGGCCTTGTCTCACTGATACAGACACTCAGAGCTTCGTTCTTGCAGCAACTACTGTCATCGAAAGAGAATAATGAAGAGGCTAATTGGACACCTGTTTCCCCAGCTAGAGTGTAAGCCCTAGAGCTGGGACCACAACTTTTCCATCACTGTGTCCTCACTCGTGACACAGTGCCAACCTCAGAGAGAGTAAGTCCCCGTCTGTTACCTATAGTGATAGGACAGGATGAAAGGGTGGGGCACAGTCACCGGGAGCCACGATCTTCAGAAAAGAAGCGTTACAGCAGAAGATTCTGGATTAACCCGCCATGACCTAATGGGTTGGTTAGTGATTGAGATTGCCAGTGGATGCTTTACCCTTTGGCAACCTCACTGCGGGACATGTGGGTCTTGTGTCTTGGCTGCTGGAACAATGAACCGTGAGAAGATGCTGTACTCTGTACCTGTGACCTCCCAACTAGAAGTGATAGAAGTAGGGTGGGGGATGGGATGCAAAGGTGATCAGGACGAAGGGAGGCTAATTATTCAGCCAAACGTGGAATGGGAAGCTGCCAGTACATCCCAAATCCTCCCTCGTCAAGAAATGTGTAGTACACAATAATGGTCACCAGGGGGTGCCATTGCTACATTAATAATCCAGAACCTTTTGCGCTTCATGCACAGAATGTTGTTTTAACTTTTGCACAGGTAGTAATCTCGTTTTCAGGTATCCTTTAGGGGGGAAACAATCATTGTTGGGTCTCAGTATTAAAATCTACGACAAGTTGCCCAACCCCAGTGAATTGCACATATTAACGGTCTGGAATATTTTGTGTCAAAGACCCCATAAGAGTGTGAAACCACGAGAGCCCAAAAACCATATCTCGAAGGAGAAAGGTCAGGGACTGGGTAGAAATGAGACCGGCAGGTGGCCACTGGCGCTCTGACACAGCAGCAAGTGCACGGGATTCCTGCACCACTGGTGCTGGACGGGTGTCCCAGCCCTGCCACACTGGGGGGTGTGACGTTGGGAAAGGGGCAGCACCCCTCTGAGCCTAAGTTCCTCAGGGCCTTGAAGATGATTAAGTACCATTTTGGCAAATCCATTTATAATCCCTGGCCCTGAGCAAGTGTTCAGTACATGTTGTGGTCATGGATGCACATTTGGGATGGGCGGTTATTTCATTAACCTTGGTCCCCCCGACTAACTTCTACATGTATGAGGGAAGGGATGGTCAGCTTTTGTTCACCGTTGTGTTTTTAGTACCTAGAACAGTGCCTGGTACATCAGGCTCTTGGTAATAAAAATGTGATAGACGGGGTGGGGGGGGGGGAGAGGAAGAAAGAATGAGTAAATGGGAAATTTGCCCTTCTAGATATACAATACGGCCGTTTAAGATTTTTGATACTGCCCTCAACCAAATGCCAGAATACTGCCAGTATTCAGAGGGGTCAGGTACCACCTGGGGAGCTGTCACGGGTGCTCACTTGGGGCCACAGGCTTAAGGGCGATGGCCCTTCTCCCATCCCCCCACCGCGCTCCCTTCATTTTCCTGGGGCTCAGCCTGGCCTGTCGCCTCCCTGCAGCCAAAACGGAGCAAGGGCCCCGCAGGCCTGTGGACACACGGGACGTCCCCACTCCTGCTGCGCGTCAGCCCGGTGTGGGAAGAGGGAGCCTCGGGCTGCTGGCAGACACCCATCTTTCCAGGGTGGCAAGGGGTTGTTAAGGAGCCCGTGGGTGTGACGAGGCTGCCTGTGGCCCGCGCTGCAGGAGGCCGTGCTCAGCTCCTGGCTCTGCTCGCCCCGGACGCTGGCGGCTGCTCCGTGCAGTTTGATCAGACCACCAGCTGTGACCGCCCCCGAGGTGGGGGTTTCCTCCAGCCCCCGGGGACACCAGGGGAATGTACAGATCCCAGTGGCTCGGTCTGAAAGGAAGCTCAGGCCTCTGGCCTCCATTCCAGTGCCTGTCTTCCGTCCCCCTTCCCCATTCCCCGAGGCCTCTGGTCGGCAGGCTCCCTGTCGTGGGCTGTGGGCATCGTCAGCGTTACTCACCAGAGTCCACGCTCTCGCCTTCTGGCCCCAGTGCGGGGCCATGTGACTACTTCCAGCCAATGAGTCCTGAGTAGAAGTGACATGTGGACTTCTGGACTTGAGCCTCTAATGCTGCTGCCAGTCTCTCCCGCTGTCACAGTGACATTGGGCGGTATTTGAGGTGGTGGCTGCTCCGTCAGCGTGAGGCCTGGGCTCAGGATGACCTGGATCCGAGCCCCCGGCTGACCGTTGGTGGATGTACAGCGTGAACAAGATGTCAGTCTTTGCTGGTGTTAAGCCAGTCGGATTTAGGATTTTTTGTTACTGCAGCCTTCCCTCGCCGAACCTGGCGATAGCAATCCAGGCCCATCTGAGGTTCTGCCCAAGAGGTCAGAGAGCCCGGGAGTAAAGGGATGAGCAGATCCCTGATGGGGTTGGTGTTAGAAGCAGAGAGGTGTAAAGGTGGGGGAGGACATGAGGGGTGACTTCACCCAACCCTTCGCAATGTGCGAACCCAGAGGGCGAGTCACTAGCCGCAGCCGCGCAGCGGCTCTGGCGGGTCCGGCGCTGTGCCCTGACCGTGTGCCTTCATCTGGCGCTGTGACCCAAGTCTGCAAACTGATTTGGAAATAAAACAGCCCCCCTCAAATCCATGACCTTGTGCCCACCCCCCCCCACCCACTCACAGAAGGAAGCCCCGCTCCCCTGCTCTCCTTTCGTTTCCCACCCGCCTGAAACACTTTATTGAGGAAGGGTGAAAAATTGCTGAATCGATCTTTTAAAATTAACACAGGATCCAAATCAAAGAAATTTAGATGAAGAGAACTTTCTCACCCGAGTGGCTGCCAGCACCCGCCCCCCCAGCTGAAGCGCGCCCTTGTTCTCGGCTGCTCTGCCCCACATTCAGGGGCCGCTCTCCGCATCGTTGGCAATTTTCTCTGCACTGTCCTGACAACCTCCGGCCATGAAATTAAAAAGCCAGGCACCAAATCCTGCTCCTAATGGCGTTGTCCTTGCCAGCCACCCGACAGAAATCTGGAAGAGGGAGCCTCCGCGAGCTCGGCCTGCAGTGGCTGAAACGAACGACAATGCGCTCGCGGTGGGAGGGGGAAGGAACGAGAGGTTTGCCAGGAACAAATGAATGAAAGAGAGTGAGCTTTGGGCTTCAAAGTGAAAAATCCCAGTGCCTCAGCAGAGGTCCTGGTGCCTGGACTCCAGGACCTGCTACAAAGCGCTGAGCTGGGCACATCACCCCCGACGAGCGCCCCCGGGTCTAGGGGGCGCTGGGGAGTCGGAGTCTCAGGAGGAAATGGCTCCAAACCGAGGTGAGTCCTGGGAGGCCAGCCCACCTAGCCAGCTTGTCCTCTGGCCACGCCCCCCGCCCCCACGGCCCTCCCCTGAGCTCACACGCCAGCACTAACGCCACAGCCC